CCAGCTCTAGCTCTAGCTCTAGCTCTAGCTCTAGCGCTAGCTCTAGCTCTAGCTCTAGCTCTAGCTCTAGCTCTAGCGCTAGCTCTAGCTCTAGCTCTAGCTCTAGCTCTAGCTCTAGCTCTAGCTCTAGCTCTAGCTCTAGAGCTCTAGCTCTAGCTCTAGCTCTAGCTCTAGCTCTAGCTCTAGCTCTAGCGCTAGCTCTAGCTCTAGCTCTAGCTCTAGCGCTAGCGCTAGCTCCAGCTCTAGCTCTAGCTCTAGCTCTAGCTCTAGCGCTAGCTCTAGCTCTAGCTCTAGCTCTAGCTCTAGCTCTAGCGCTAGCTCTAGCTCTAGCTCTAGCTCTAGCTCTAGCTCTAGCTCTAGCTCTAGCTCTAGCTCTAGCTCTAGCTCTAGCGCTAGCTCTAGCTCTAGCTCTAGCTCTAGCTCTAGCTCTAGCTCTAGCTCTAGCTCTAGCGCTAGCTCTAGCTCTAGCTCTAGCTCTGGCTCTAGCTCTAGCTCTAGCTCTAGCTCTAGCTCTAGCTCTAGCTCTAGCTCTAGCTCTAGCTCTAGCTCTAGCTCTAGCTCTAGCTCTAGCTCTAGCGCTAGCTCTAGCTCTAGCTCTAGCTCTAGCTCTAGCTCTAGCTCTAGCTCTAGCTCTAGCTCTAGCTCTAGCTCTAGCTCTAGCTCTAGCTCTAGCTCTAGCTCTAGCGCTAGCTCTAGCTCTAGCTCTAGCTCTAGCTCTAGCTCTAGCTCTAGCTCTAGCTCTAGCTCTAGCTCTAGCTCTAGCTCTAGCGCTAGCTCTAGCTCTAGCTCTAGCTCTAGCTCTAGCTCTAGCTCTAGCTCTAGCTCTAGCTCTAGCTCTCGCTCTAGCTCTAGCTCTAGCTCTAGCTCTAGCTCTAGCGCTAGCTCTAGCTCTAGCTCTAGCTCTAGCTCTAGCTCTAGCTCTAGCTCTAGCTCTAGCTCTAGCTCTAGCTCTAGCTCTAGCTCTAGCTCTAGCTCTAGCTCTGGCTCTAGCTCTAGCTCTAGCTCTAGCTCTAGCTCTAGCTCTAGCTCTAGCTCTAGCTCTAGCTCTAGCTCTAGCTCTAGCTCTAGCTCTAGCTCTAGCTCTAGCTCTAGCTCTAGCTCTAGCTCTAGCTCTAGCTCTAGCTCTAGCTCTAGCTCTAGCTCTAGCTCTAGCTCTAGCTCTAGCTCTAGCTCTAGCTCTAGAGCTCTAGCTCTAGCTCTAGCTCTAGCTCTAGCTCTAGCTCTAGCTCTAGCTCTAGCTCTAGCTCTAGCTCTAGCTCTAGCTCTAGCTCCAGCTCTAGCTCTAGCTCTAGCTCTAGCTCTAGCTCTAGCTCTAGCTCTAGCTCTAGCTCTAGCTCTAGCTCTAGCTCTAGCTCTAGCTCTAGCTCTAGCTCTAGCTCTAGCTCTAGCTCTAGCTCTAGCTCTAGCTCTAGCTCTAGCTCTAGCTCTAGCTCTAGCTCTAGCTCTAGCTCTAGCTCTAGCTCTAGCTCTAGCTCTAGCTCTAGCTCTAGCTCTAGCTCTAGCTCTAGCTCTAGCTCTAGCTCTAGCTCTAGCTCTAGCTCTAGCTCTAGCTCTAGCTCTAGCTCTAGCTCTAGCTCTAGCTCTAGCTCTAGCTCTAGCTCTAGCTCTAGCTCTAGCTCTAGCTCTAGCTCTAGCTCTAGCTCTAGCTCTAGCTCTAGCTCTAGCTCTAGCTCTAGCTCTAGCTCTAGCTCTAGCTCTAGCTCTAGCTCTAGCTCTAGCTCTAGCTCTAGCTCTAGCTCTAGCTCTAGCTCTAACGTTTTGCTCTAGCTCTAGCTCTGGCTCTGGCTCGAGCTGGAGCTGGAGCTCTAGCTCTAGCTTTAGCTCAAATTTTGGTTCTAGCTCCTTGGCACTGATGGATCTACTCAATCTCACGGACTCATGCACGTCAGGAAAGTTATGATATATGTACAAAGGAAGCTAAGTTTCTCGTATCTTTCTTTCAGAGGTTTTTTTCTCTTGCTCTTGCGGTCTGTCAAGCATGGTCAGCTAACCGTCAGAGACTGGAGAGGGCGAGGCGACCTGACGGCAGTGAAGGTACTCATGGTTCTTCTGAAGTCTGGCATCGCCTTCATCGCGTTGGCCTTACGCATGGTCAGCTGGTCCATTTGCTGAAATCGATAAGTCAGACTAGTTAGCAACCAGGTTTCATCGCCAACCCTCGTAAGGTTCTGCGCTGCCGCTTCCTCATGCTTGTGCGCGGGGGCGGAAGGAGTTCTAGAGAAAGCCATGTTGCTGGCAGCAGGGGAGGAAGGCATCCTGTTGATCATGCTACCAAAACCCATGATTGCCCTCTTAGGATTCGGTTTTGAATCCAAAAGCGGAGAAAGCAAAGCCTGTTGGATGTTTCCCGTCAAGAAGAAGAGCATGAGACAAGGATGATACCGAGGTTGCTGATTCTCTTTTGTTTGGTTCAATGGTCAGCAGCCCTTTGATCAAGACCATCGTGTCCTCGCATGTCTGCCATCAGAATGGGTAAGCGAATGATGATGAAAAACAACTGCTCTACCTGACTGACTTCTTCATCAGATGGTTCAGTCTTGTCCGACCGACGGCAACGGTCCTTGGTGCATGCAGTCGACACAATGTCCTCTATTCTAGACTGTAATCTAGGCCAAGCTTTGAAGTGCTGATAGCAATCCAGTCTCGACGCGAAGTGATCATCCGCAGTACCGACAAGCTCGAAAACTTTGTACAGCTGATCTGAGTTGTAATTGTAGTGGGTCACAATGTCACATGTGCAGTTGTCTTCGATATTGCCCATGAGAGGGCAACGACCGAGCAGCATCTCAAGGATTAAAACCCCTACAGACCATTCATCTATCTTGGAATTGTACGTTGATGCTCCCATAATCAGTTCTGGTGCACGATACCAAAGTGTAGAAACCTCGTTTCTCACTGTCATGATGTCATCTGAAAATTCACGAGCAAGACCAAAATCTCCCAGTTTGAGTTTCATTTCTTTGAAAACCAAAATATTCGCCGGCTTTATGTCTCGATGCACAACCTTGATGCCATGAAGATACTCCACACCCCTCAGAACATCCCGAGCACAACGAACAATTAATGGCATTGTAAGGCTCCGCTTCTGTTTCTTAATGATGACATGTAAATCTGTAAGGGCCTCTTCGAAAACTATGACTGATGAATCCGCTGCATTACTGCTTTAGATAAAATAGACACAGAAAGGGCAAAATACTCACCCGTAGAACCAAGCATTGCCACCACATTGGGATGCAAACCAACCCTACGCATCATATCGATCTCGCGCTTGAAAGCAGCCCTTCTCTGCTCTCCAGGACTCTCTTTCTTGGCATCCTCGGGGTCCAAATCTGAAGTTCAACATCAGATTGACTCTGAAAGAGCTTTCGAGTATCACCAGGATCAGGCCAGATCACTTTAACGACGACTTCTTGTCCGCTTGCAAGGATTGTAGCTTGCCAAACAGTCCCATAAGACCCTTTGCCTATCTTATCAGAGACCTAGAAAGATAAAATTCAAATGTCCTTGCATGTGATCGAGTAGATGAGCTCTCATTTTACCTCAAGATCGGCGCGTTTGAATTTTTTAAAAGCAGATTTGCTTTCGAGACTCATTTCGGAAGCTTGTTAACTTAACTATGAGATCAAAACAAATCAACGAAATCATACAGAATGAGAAATCAATTGGTAACAACTCGAATTGCTTGCTTAGTATATAACCAAATTGGTTTCATCTATCAGCAATCCTATCTTGTGAAGCGCGCTCTCGTAAAGACTGATGAATTTTGGTGACTAAAATTTGATCTCTGTCGCAGGTTTTCATTAAGATTCTAATTTTTGTCGTGATTGGTTTTTCCAACGATCAAATTGAACCAACCACAAGAAGGGGTAAAATTGCAAGAGGTTCGCTCTTGCTCTTTCTTGCTCAATTTGATGCTAGAACTTATCATTCTCTAAAGATCACTGTACAACCATCTCCCCTCTCCACGCCGACCGAAATCGCATTCTTACGTAATTTTCTTCCTTTGAAAGATTTCAACGTAAACGTCACGTTCCATTCTCAGCAAGACATGATACTTCTACTCTTGTTCGGATCATGATTATCCTAAATTCTTCTCATGTTTTTCTGCAAACATTTTTCAATCACTTCCCATCTTTTGTCTCTCTCTCCCTCTCTCCGCGGGCTTCCCTCTTCTCCTCCGCTCCCAGCTCAGCGGCTCGTCCTCTGTGCAGCGCATCGTGTACCCCGGCAGGGTCAAAGAAAAAAGTCAACAGGTGACCCCACCCCTCCAATACCTGTGCCTTCAGCTTCGACCCTACTACCCCTACCATATCGAATCACTCTAGGTACCAGCACCCCCAATATACGTATGTATTGCAGGGGTGCTTCGTTTCTCTAGTGAAGTACCACCCCACCTCACCGTAAACTTACGTCAGACCACCCGACTCTACCCTGCCTCTCGGACGGTTCGACGGTTACACAGCCCGGCACACTGACCCGGGCCGCCGTGTCAAAGACTCGGCGGCAGTTATGCCAGGCTTCAGTGAAACAGATTACAACTGCCTCAATTGACGAATGTCGGATCCTTTTTTCAATTGGGCCTCGGAACAGCATGCCGCAGCCTGTGCGCTGTCAAGAACGCGAGACTGCACTCTTTGTTGGAACTGCTTCGCTGCCGGGATACTCTGAGATCATTTTCTGTCTACTGAGTTTCTGACAACCGGCCGCTCAGCGGCAGCTCAGTGCCGCCAGTGCCTGGCGGTAGAGAGTAAACAAGTAAAAGTTCCTTCACAAATTTAACTTTAAACTAAGTTAATTTGTGTTTATTAAATTCTATTTTGAAGTTACGTGTTTTTTTTTCAGTGGTCAATCATCCGGGTGACTCGACCCCCCCACTGACCCCCATGAAAATCCTGTCCCGGGGGAGGGGTCATTTTGCCCGTCTCGTGTGGGACTGGGAAGTTAAGTTTCTTGGTACCCGGTACCCACTTCGCCGTCGGTGATCACCGCTCTCCTGCACCATATTACATGACTACTTGGTGGGTGGTAACCCACCCCACTCCATCCCTTGTATGAAGGGCAAGGCATTTCTGACTGATATAAATGTGGAAGTAAAGTTTCTTGGTGCACCAACAAGACCTCGGAAGTTAAGATAAATGTAACGAACGGGGGTACTTGATGATGCTGAGTCGGTGCGATCCTGTTGAAGTCGATGGTAATCCGTAATTGTGACTAAAACAACTCAGTACTGAAATATCTCAACTCCCGGGGGACTGCTCGTCTCTGTCAGATAACTGTAGTACCACAAAGACCTCCGGGGTATCAGCTCTCCGATGGGGGTACTTTTAATGGTGAACGAGAGGGTGGTCTGATGTAGGCTCGCCTTTATATTCCTCCTCCTCTCCTCGCCTGCTCTCGCCCTGCCTCGCGATATGCGTGCTGCTGCTCACCACGCGGCAGCTCTGCTCCTCCTGCTCTCCTCCCTTCCTGGCTCTCATTGCGCCTACAGCTTTGTCAAAGCCGAGGGAAAGGACATCTGCGCCGGTGTCATACCTGATTGCGCAAACTTGAAGGATTGTTCCTCTGCTGCCTACGGGCCGTGCACCGCTGCCTCCCCTGGCCCCTCAGCCTATGTCACAGTCACCCCCGACTCAATGGCATGGATCTACGATATCAACACCTACGCCACCAATGCCAACCAGGTCAACATGATAAATGCTCTGACGAATGTCTCCATCAATGGGTTTGTTTCGAGTAAATCAGGCGTCAAAGAGGGAACTGCAGAGTTTGCATACATGATGGCCGGAGGTCTAGTTGGTAACACTGTTGAAAGCTGCGGCTTTGTTGGCGTGGTCAATGCGATCATGACCAAAGGGGTTATCAGCACCAAGACCATTCCCGTTTCATGGAATGCACCAGACAACCTTCCGTCTGACCACAAAACCTTCAAAAACACTGCAGATTACTGTATCGCTTCTACGTCCAACGGAGCTTGTACCGGAACGAATGTGACATTCGTATCCGGCGACATCGCGTTCATGGCTTACGGCGGAACGATGGGTAGCAAGTACGTTGCGGATCCTAAGGGCACGCATCTCGGCCTCAGACTGAAGATGACGGTGGTAGACAAGAGCCAGACTTCAGCACAGATGACTTTCAACTCCCAATCGAAGAAGCTGAGCGAGATGAGTAACGTCGAGGTCAATGACATCTCCTTCACTCTAGGCGGCAAGCTCATCTCCTTGGTTCTCTCGAAGGGTTTCAACTACGCCACCGCTGGATCAGGCGATCCTGTATCTTTATCGAAGTATGGAAGCGATACCGTGAATATCAGGGCCAACAAAGTAACTGGAGACGACATGTCTGTATACTTTGACATCCTTTTCCCTAAGCAATACTTTCAGACAGCTGGTCAGACGGTCCTCTACGGGTCTGCAGGCGCACCTGCCGTTGGCGCAACATCCACAACTTCTAGCCAGTCTCGATGGGTTGTCGGGCCTCCTACCGTGCCCATTGCTCCCGCTCCTAGTTCCGCAGCTGGCACCCCAGCTTTTATGGCACTCACTCTCATGGTGACCGCCATCGCTGCTCTCTTCACGACAAGAGCATGAAATCGACATTGGAACTTCAACTGCTTGCTCGTCGCGTGACGCTGAGCTCTTTACATCCTGTATACTTTTTAGGAGAACACAGGGAGATCGCACCAGAAAAGCTCTGCGAATAAAACATTGAAAAAACCTAGCAAAGTTGACATTCTTCACACGTCACACATCCTTAATATCAAACATAGTTTTGCCCGCCATTGAGCTTGCTGGCAGTTCAACACAACGAGTCCCAAGCACAGCGTAGGAGCAGGGGACAAGAGGAGAGGCAGGAAGCAAGGTTGGGCTCTATGGGCATCTACTTATCTACTTGCGATGGCATCGATGAAGGCAGTGCCTAGCAGCGGCAGGTTCACTGATAAAATGATACAGGAGGGAGACAGGCTAAGCGATGAGGCCTAAAAAATCTTTTCTTAAGAATCTGTCCTGAAGAATCTGTCCGAGACCCAGCGAGCAGCGAGGTATAATTACTTGAGGCCTGTGAAGCAGCAGGTGAAGTATCAGCAGGCAAAGCAGCAAGCAAAACATCAACAGTTAAAAGTATCAGCAGGTAAAGTAGCAACAAAAACAACTGCAGGTCAAGCATTGGCAGGTCAAGCAGCAGGTGACGCACACAAAGCAGCAGCAGGTGAAGCAGCTGCAGATCAAGCAGCAGCAGGTCAAGCAGCAGCAGGTGAGGCAGCAGCAGGTGAGGCAGCAGCAAGTGAGGATGCAGCTGGTCAAGCATCGGCAGGTGAAGCAGCAGCAGGTCAAGCATCGGCAGCAGATCAAGCAGCAGCAGATCAAGCATCGGCAGGTCAAGCAGCAGGTGACGCACACAAAGCAGCAGCAGGTGAAGCAGCTGCAGGTGAGGCAGCAGCAGGTGAGGCAGCAGCAGGTCAAGCAGCAGCAGGTGAAGCAGCAGCAGGTGAGGCAGGAGCAGGTGAGGCAGGAGCAGGTGAGGCAGCAGCAGGTCAAGCAGCAGGTGAAGCAGCAGCAGGTGAGGCAGCAGCAGGTCAAGCAGCAGCAGGTGAGGCAGCAGGTGAGGCAGGAGCAGGTGAAGTATCAGCAGATGCAGCAGCAGGTGAGGCAGCAGCAGGTGAAGCAGCAGCAAGTGAAGCAGCAGCAGGTGAGGCAGCAGCAGGTCAAGCATCGGCAGATGCAGCAGCAGGTGAAGCAGCAGCAGGTGAGGCAGCAGCAGGTCAAGCAGCAGGTCAAGCAGCAGCAGGTCAAGCAGCAGGAGAAGCAACAACTTGGTAAAGCAGCAGCAGGTCAAGCAGCAGCAGGTCAAGCAGCAGGTGAGGCAGCAGGAGAAGCAACAACTTGGTAAAGCAGCAGCAGGTAAAGCAGCAGCAGGTGAGGCAGCAGCAGGTGAGGCAGCAGCAGGTGAAGCAGCAGCAAGTGAGGCAGCAGCAGGTGAGGCAGCAGCAAGTGAAGCAGCAGCAGGTCGATCAGCAGCAGGTGAGGCAGCAGCAGGTGAGGCAGCAGCAGCAGCAGGTGAAGCAGCAGCAGGTGAGGCAGCAGCAGGTGAAGCAGCAGCAGCAAAGTTGACACTCTTCACACGTCACACATCCTTAATATCAAACATAGTTTTGCCCGCCATTGAGCTTGCTGGCAGTTCAACACAACGAGTCCCAAGCACAGCGTAGGAGCAGGGGACAAGAGGAGAGGCAGGAAGCAAGGTTGGGCTCTATGGGCATCTACTTATCTACTTGCGATGGCATCGATGAAGGCAGTGCCTAGCAGCGGCAGGTTCACTGATAAAATGATACAGGAGGGAGACAGGCTAAGCGATGAGGCCTAAAAAATCTTTTCTTAAGAATCTGTCCTGAAGAATCTGTCCGAGACCCAGCGAGCAGCGAGGTATAATTACTTGAGGCCTGTGAAGCAGCAGGTGAAGTATCAGCAGGCAAAGCAGCAAGCAAAACATCAACAGTTAAAAGTATCAGCAGGTAAAGTAGCAACAAAAACAACTGCAGGTCAAGCATTGGCAGGTCAAGCAGCAGGTGACGCACACAAAGCAGCAGCAGGTGAAGCAGCTGCAGATCAAGCAGCAGCAGGTCAAGCAGCAGCAGGTGAGGCAGCAGCAGGTGAGGCAGCAGCAAGTGAGGATGCAGCTGGTGAGGCAGCAGCAGGTGAAGCAGCAGCAAGTGAAGCAGCAGCAGATCAAGCAGCAGCAGGTGAGGCAGCAGCAAGTGAGGCAGCAGCAGCAGCAGGTGAGGCAGCAGCAGGTGAGGCAGCAGCAGGTGAGGCAGCAGCAGGTGAAGCAGCAGCAGGTGAGGCAGCAGCAGGTGAAGCAGCAGCAGGTGAGGCAGCAGCAGGTGAGGCAGCAGGTGAGGCAGCAGCAGGTGAGGCAGCAGCAGGTGAAGCAGCAGCAGGTGAAGCAGCAGCAGGTCAAGCATCGGCAGATGCAGCAGCAGGTGAGGCAGCAGCAGGTGAAGCAGCAGCAGGTGAAGCAGCAGCAGGTGAAGCAGCAGCAGGTGAAGCAGCAGCAGGTCAAGCAGCAGCAGGTGAGGCAGCAGCAGGTGAAGCAGCAGCAGGTGAAGCAGCAGCAGGTGAGGCAGCAGCAGGTAAAGCACAACAGTGAGGCAGCAGCAGGTGAGCAGCAGGTCAAGCAGCAGCAGGTGAGGCAGCAGGAGAAGCAACAACTTGGTAAAGCAGCAGCAGGTCAAGCAGCAGCAGGTCAAGCAGCAGGTGATGCAGCAGGAGAAGCAACAACTTGGTAAAGCAGCAGCAGGTCAAGCAGCAGCAGGTGAAGCAGCAGCGGGTGAGGCAGCAGCAGGTGAGGCAGCAGCAGGTGAGGCAGCAGCAGGTGAGGCAGCAGCAGGTCAAGCAGCAGCAAGTGAAGCAGCAGCAGGTCAAGCAGCAGCAGGTGAGGCAGCAGCAGGTGAGGCAGCAGCAGCAGCAGGTGAGGCAGCAGCAGGTCAAGCAGCAGCAGGTGAAGCAGCAGCAGGTGAAGCGGCAGGTGAGGCAGCAGCAGGTGAGGCAGCAGCAGGTCAAGCATCAGTACATGAAGCAGCAGGAGAAGCAACAACTTGGTAAAGCAGCAGCAGGTGAGGCAGCAGGTGAGGCAGCAGGTGAGGCAGCAGCAGGTGAGGCAGCAGCAGGTCAAGCGGCAGCAGGTGAGGCAGCAGCAGGTGAGGCAGCAGCAGGTCAAGCAGCAGCAGGTCAAGCAGCAGCAGGTCAAGCATCGGCAGATGCAGCAGCAGGTGAAGCAGCAGCAGGTGAAGCAGCAGCAGGTGAAGCAGCAGCAGGTCAAGCATCGGCAGGTGAAGCAGCAGCAGGTGAGCCAGCAGTATATCAAGCATCGGCAGATGAAGCAGCAGGTCAAGCAGCAGGAGAAGGAACAACTTGGTAAAGAAGCAGCAGGTGAAGCAGCAGCAGGTGAGGCAGCAGCAGGTGAGGCAGCAGCAGGTCAAGCAGCAGGTGAGGCAGCAGGTCAAACATCAGTAGGTGAAGCAGCAGCAGGTGCAGCAGCAGGTGAGGCAGCAGCAGGTGAGGCAGCAGCAGGTGAGCCAGCAGGGAAAGCTGCAGGTACAGGAAGATTTGAGGTATATAGGAAGGAAAGAGACGCGCATCTAACACCCCTCAGAGCGAGATAGCATTGCGATAGCTCGCGAGATCTTTCTTAACAAAAGACTCATATGTTTGTGAGGTTTACTTGTCTGTACAATTCGACTTGGAAATCTCAGCGGCCTGCTATACTCTCTGATGCAACAAACGTGCAACTTCTGCCTGCCAACTGTGATCCTTGTGCTACAGCCTTAGACTCATCGACAGGTAGCAGCGTCTCTCACCTGGCCAATTGTTGTCACCGAGCAGCTCTATGGACCACCGTGCATGAGCAGTGTACTATGGTTCTCCGCAACAAGCATGGTCCCACCAACAGACTCATGGGCGACCTCTGGCTCCCTGGCCACTCCACCCACACCTGGAATGGGCTGGTTCTGGACTTTACCATGACTCATCCCTACAACAGCAGCGGCAGCCCCGTCGGACTTTGGTGTGCCTCAGTGTGTGCCCCTGGTGTGCCTGCAGCACCGGCCTGCACTGGGCCTGCCCAGGGGGGCCTGCCCAGCCGCCTGCCCAGCCGCCTGCCCACGGGGGTGGAACTCGCGATAAAAGGGTCTAGGACCGGTGTCTTTCCCTCAATGATAGAGGGTATGTTGATGGGGAGGGGGTGGGTAAGTTTGCAGGAAATCGCAATGGCAGCCAGGCCGCGACCAGGTTTAAGGATGATTAAAGCAAAAAGCGCGATGATGACAATTGTCAAAACCTCACAGTCTATCAGAGAAATGTGAGTTCTATCTCATGATACCAATGATTCGGATGTCACTATCGCTCTTTTTAATGTTTTCTACTTTTCGTATACCTCTTTTTCGACTTGCAACCAGCAATGTCACGTAATCCCCGAAACCCGGGCATGTTACCATTGAGGCCTCCATCCCATTGTGCTGATTTAGCATAAATTCGTCTTCGCCTGTTCTTATGTGTGCTGTTCTCAGCTTCCCCGTCATTATCTGATCCATTCCGTACGTTGAAAGTGTCCCGTTCATGCGGTTGGCTGAGGACAATTCGTTTTTTCGAATGCTCGTACACAAAGGGCAGGTCAGGGTCCACCTTTTTACATAACTCTGTGCAAGCCTGATTGAATTTTCTCAAGAAATCCTTCTTGTTCAGATGGCCAATCAATGACCACAGATTCTCCACACTATCGGTGCAGAGAGTTCGTGAGTTGAAGTCATAGTCTCCGTCTCCAAGCACATGTCTCTTATTTTTCACGTACTGCTGTACTTGCAGATGAGTATCAATTGCCACTATGAAACCTTCAAACGCGACAGAAGATAATCCTTTCACGTGTTTCTGGCTGACCGTGGTCCAGTCGATCCCTTCCAACAACCAACTCCGAGCTTCGCGTACTAGACGTATCCTCTCTGAAACTGTCAGACCTCTTTGATCGAATGCTTTGTGAAGGCCAGACATACTTTCTGCCATTCTGGCTGTCGCTTCATGCCCTTCTGCCTTCAGTAGACTGATGGCTTTTTCACTGAACATCTTCAGCATGATATCCACAGATTGTGGATCGGCGGTTCCATCGACCTCCATCTGAGACATCCATGATGGATTCTTCTTGGCGATATCACTGTAAGCTTTATGCCATATCTTGGCTTCCGGTGAAGACGATTGTGACTTCCCTGATCCAATCGAATGCCTGACATTCTTCAACAAGTGGTTAATGCACGGTGAGAAGAATAACAACTTCTTGGTGATAGGAGAGATGACGGGATTGGACAGCCATTCGTCAAATTTAAAGCGGATCTTGTTTTCATCCAGCTCATTTAGCCCATCTGCTATCCTTCGCTCCATCTCCCATGGAGTGTATGTTTCTTCCTCATCTTGATTGTCATTGGCTAATGACAGAACTTCTTCGTATCCATACCTTCGGCAAAATATTTTCAGCCTACAGAACATGTCTTTCAAGGTCAATCTTGGCCTCTTGCTCGTGCTACATCTTAGCGTCTTCTCATTCTGAACCTGCCATATGGCCTGGTTGCGTCGCAATTGCAAAACAAAATTTTTGATATCTCTCATCTCCGGCACATCCATGTGTACCATTCCCGACTGAGGTGTGACTGACAATGACGACAGGTCTTCCCCATCGTATTCATCGGCATTGTTCAAGGTGCACTCACTCTCAATGTCGTGCTCTGAAATTGGAGGCTCGAACTTGAATAGCCCTGAAATGTATGCAGCAATAGAGGAACATAGAGTTCGATCATCCATACTGGTTGCCTAAATCTGCTTCGCAATCTTCGAATTCTTTACAAAAACCAGCATTGATCATCGTCTTGTCCATCGCCAACACGTGGATACCATCTACAAGGTTAGTACTCATCATTTCGCTGTAATTGTCCAAAATTTCGCTACATATTCTTGACCTTTTCACATCTCGTGTTTTCATGTCAGCACTTTGATGCTTGCAAAGAGTAGAGATGCATGGCAGAGGCAAGTTATGTAAAGCCTGATCAGAATGGAAATTGTCTGTAAACTTGTTCCCTGGCCCTGACAGGAACCGCAACATTGTCGCATTGCCAAGGTTTTTGAGTGTTGATGCGAAACTGATAATCTCCGGGGAGAATCTCATGCCCCTCGAATCTTTCGCTCTAAAACTTTGACGACACCAATCCATTACCAAGTACGGCATGATTTTGTGTGTTGTTCTGAAAGCGTCGATATCATTACTGGCAAACATCACCAATTCAGAAACTACATCTGGCAATCCACAAGCATGTAAGTTTGAAACTGCTCTTTCGACATTGCATATCGCAGAGAACTCATGCTCCGATGTTTTCTTTTGTGCTTGACACAGAGAGTCGTGCTCACTCAGAATCCTTCGGATGATTTCACATCGGGTGTTGCCATCAAGGGTTCTGAACGTTTCACAAACTGTCTGAATGAACAGCTCGGAGTCTGCCTTGGTGTGCTTCTTTGGGGGACATGGATCAACATGCTCATCCGACAATTTTGCATATCTGCAGAATGATCACACTACAGAGAGGGGAAGAAAGCAACATCACAGACTTACCGCAAAAAGTAATCGTGAATCGTGGATTGTAATGAATTCAAATCTTCGAAATGTGAGGTAGACCACTTTTCGATTCGGGAAAAAAGAGTTCGATGCTTTCTGTGCATATTACCAAGCTGTGTACGAAGTCGATTTAAATGCTCATAAATAGCAGTGGTTCCTGCATGTGGATTTCCAGATGCTTGTTTTTCGAAAACCTTGGTGTAATAGTAGAGAAAGCATTTCGCAAACCCTTCTGATGTATGTCCGTAAACATCTCCAAGGACTTTTAGCTTCTTTTGGACTTCAAACAAGGATACAGAACGAAGACTTAACTTCAGATGCTGGGTCGCTGAAGTGAGAAGATTGTTGTCTTCACACTCCAAAGACAAAGTTGCATGATCTTGACATTGCAAGAAATCCAACAGCTTGAAAACCAAGGTATCATCCCACTTCGAGAGCAAAATCCGCTTAGAACCACACTCATCCTTTTGGGTTTTGAATAAATGTACACAAGTTGTGCAAACAGGCACACCTTGCCATCTTCGAACACTGGCCTTCTTTCTTGGTTTTTGGCATGATTGGCATGTTTCGGTCTTCCGCACCTTCGGCTTGCCCATGGCGAGGGGGGTCACAGGTTTGCCCGCCAAAAATCGGATTTGAATTTTGTTGTGATACCCTGCCATGGCATGCAGAACCCCCTGAAAAAACTGCCATAGCGCCCCACACAGACCGCATGGAGGCGAAGCGGGGGGGGGGGGGTATTTAACTAATTATTTGTACTGTTTAATTCACCGACCAGGGGTTGGCCCGCCTGTCAATTCGAACATAGTAGTTCTACCCCCGTGCCGCCTGCCGTCATTTCGGCATATGCGCGGGGACGAGGGTTAAAACGAGGTGCCAACGGCCATGCTCTCGTAGTTATGAGGGACGAAACAATGAGGACGTAGGAGGCAAGAGGACAGAAGACGTCTTGTTGAAAGAAGGTGAGACATAGTTCAGAGAAGAAGATGAAAGAAAGGTGGTCCTCAAGAGAGTAAGATGGATGCCTGTCATGCGCTGAAGGGGACCCACTGACTGGCTGTGAAGAAGCACCAGTGTTGAGGGCTGCTGTTGAAACAGCAATGTCGTCCTTGAGGCTTCCGAGACAGGGGGGAGGAGTTACAAACGCCAAGCGAGTAACTCTCGATTCATTCGAAAAGATTACCAGTGAGGATGCGAAGCAATCGCACAAGGGCAAGGAAACCTTGAACGTGAATGATATCCCCTCGCCGACTCAACGATCAGCTAGACCTAAGACTGCCATGCCCCGTAAGCTCGACCACTTTGGAATATTCAACACCAGCACCTCACGTCCCGATCCTCCATGCGAGAGAAGCAGCGAGCGAGAGGAATTTACGAACCCGCCTCCTGTACGATCATCGCCAACTGCCGAGCAGCAATCGTCCTCCCGACGGATGGTCACGACTCCAAGAAGCACAGAGAGGACTCAAGTTCGTCCCATGTCTGCTCCATCATCCATCAAGCGAGCTCAGCATGGAGTTTCTGCTGTTGCTGATGGCTTGGTCGGCAAGTCAGTTTTGCGACCTGGCACCAGCGAAAGGTTTGTGAAGTATATCATCATGCTGATCCTTTGGGGCTGATCAGTCATTTGCACAGCTCTCAGCTACAAAGCAGGTTGTCGAAGTTCCAGTCTGTCTTCCAAAACAAGAACGCAGCAAAATTCTCGTTAATGAGCAAAGCTTTTCGAAGTGGTGAGGGAGAGAGGGGAGATGTTATCAGCTGAGTTGATTGTTTTCCAGTGGATGCAGATAAAAACGGCATCCTTGGGAGAAATGAGATCGTTCACATGATGCAGTCGCTTGACATACCCGCGGAAGAAAAAGTTGTCGACCGTTTGATGTCAAAGTGCTCGTCAAGTGTTGGAATGACGTTGCAAGATTTCCGTAAACTCTTGTGGGTGGATGAGACGGTGGGATGCTACATAGACGATCGGTTGAACAAAAGAGAAGACGTAAGATCTCAATCAAGCAGTCCGTCTTGTTCTCATGTCGTTACAGGCCCGAGGTGACAACGAAAATCAAAAATACTTGTGGACACCTGCTGTGAGCGTCGGGAAATATATTGGAAGTATCAACGACACATTGGTAATTCTCAGATCTTTTCTCTCTTCTTTAAACTTGGTATGTTTGGTCAGGAGGCTGACAAGAGGGATGAGGGACACAATCATCCCAGGATTGACTTTAACTTCTCATCGGTATGACGAGGTGGATCGGTTTGATGCGCTGAAATTCCCTTGTAAGGTTCGATATGATATTCTTTCATTCAATCAGCAAAAAGGAGATGAGAATGCCATCATAAAGCTACCTGTGAAGAAACGACCTGCTCTGTTCGAGAATCCGATTCCCTTCGGACGAAGGCGAAAATTTATCTTTGATTGATTCATGTTGCTTGCTCAAGGCGATTGCAGGGTGGCATATGACAGAGGAGACACGCCTTGGAATCTCATCTCTCTCAAGCTTAAACCCGACCCATCATCGCCCTCACATGCGGAGAAGAACGACAGGTCCGCACAGGCGTTGTTGGATTCCCTCACTCTTACATTTGATTGCACACCAGTTACATTCAAGCTCCTATTCGATTATTTACCTTTGCGAGTAAGCCTCTCAACTTGAATTCGAAGAATGACCGTCTGATTGGCTGGTTGCCCCAGGAATCCAAAAAGGAGAATTTCCCACGCAGAATGGACTAAAGCTCACCAGCACAACCTACTAGGCCATCCCTGAAATTGGTACCAGGTAGAGTCTAGGCCATGACTTAATCTTACCGCTCAGTAAGAAGAATAAATAACACATTATTGATTGACCGATACTCCCCACCTCAAAACGCTAGACAACAAGTCAAGTGGACAGCTCATGATGTCTGTTTCATCGCTTATCTCGCTATTATGTTCGTCTGCTGTACGACATCGTCACAAGTGCGATGCTCTTCTGAGACATCATCACGCCTTCTCTAGAACGCATCCATGATGATGGTTTCCTGACCCCTCTGTCAGGCTCTCCCTTTTGAGCACGGAATAGCCAGGAGGATTTTTAGTATTGATCCAGGAGATCGAAGCCGATGTTGAACAGAGTTGTGTTGCTAGGAGGAACCCAGTTGCTAGGAGGGATCCAGTTGGTAGGAGGGATCCAGCTGCTAGGAGGGATCCAGTTGCTAGGAGGGATCCAGTTGCTAGGAGGGATCCAGCTGCTAGGAGGGATCCAGTTGCTAGGAGGGATCCAGCTGCTAGGAGGGATCCAGCTGCTAGGAGGGATCCAGCTGCTAGGAGGGATCCAGCTGCTAGGAGGGATCCAGCTGCTAGGAGGGATCCAGTTGTTAGGAGGGATCCAGTTGCTAGGAGGGATCCAGTTGCTAGGAGGGATCCAGTTGCTAGGAGGGATCCAGCTGCTAGGAGGGATCCAGCTGCTAGGAGGGATCCAGTTGCTAGGAGGGATCCAGTTGCTAGGAGGGATCCAGTTGCTAGGAGGGATCCAGTTGCTAGGAGGGATCCAGCTGTTAGGAGGGATCCAGTTGCTAGGAGGGATCCAGTTGCTAGGAGGGATCCAGTTGTTAGGAGGGTCTCGACTACCCCACTATCTTACCTTTCATCACCCCACCCTTCTCCCCTTTGAACGTACCCACCCCTCCTTTGCATCTCTTCTACCCCCCTGCTTTCTCTTGCAAGGGACAGCAGTCAGAAACTACCGTTCAGAGACCTCCCCCCTACCCCTCCACCCCTCCAGTCTCAACACGTTTCATTAGGACCCCACCCCTCTCCGTTATAAAGATGTCCCCAAAGAAACTTGGCGGGGGATGGTCAAGCCGTGGCTTGCATCGCCTAGGGGGTTAGGGGTGGGGTGGTTTCATCGGAGCGGATTGAACTGGAGGAGGGTGGGTGGATGGCAGGATTGGGGACGGTGGCCTCAGGGGGTCGATGGGGTGGCGGGTATGAGGAGCGGGAGAATGGCCTGAGCATGAGGGCGGGGGAGGAGGAGGAGGAGGAGGAGGGAGGGCCAGCAGCTTGATTAAATGACTGAGCGAGAGAGAGAAGGGGAGGGAGAACTTCTCTGTCCATTGTCATGAAGGACCTACATGGCAATAGAGATTGAGGAAAAGATTAGATCAAGAGCAGAAAATATTGTACCATAGGACTAAGTTTGAAAGATGTTCAAAAGCAACTAATCTGGTTTTACATTTTATTCTGGTGTACGAGTTATGATATCAAACTCATCTATTTTTGGGCAAAGGGAGCATTCCATTCCTCGAGAGGAGTCGCCGAAAAGGATGCGGAAGAAGGAATTTCTTGATTGTGTGGAAGAGTCCATATCATCTGACAACTATTGATGCAGATCGATTCTGTTGCATCTCTCAATGAGATTGCTGAGAGAGATCGCATCATGCTGCACAACAGCCTTCTGAGCACTCCATCCAAGTCTCTCAACGGCAGCCATGCTGGGACCCCCGACGCCAGTCCCTTTCGGTTGCTTTACCAAACCCCGCGGAGAGATGTGAGATTAAGCCCATGCATCAAGTCGCTCTGACGAGCTCTCGCCAGATTAGCTCCATCTCCCCCAACGTCTTTGCTTCCCTCCAGATGCAGGTATCTTGCCATTCTCTCTACTGAAATGAGATTGATCCGTGGGTGTTTAGAACGAAAATTCTGAAATGCATCTACTTTCAAGCTCACTGCATAGGACGAGCAAGAGCGATTTTCTTGCTCAGCTTGTCCTGTTTGGCTTGGACAAAGATTGGGAGCTGCTTTCGAGTGTGGGGATAAACAGTTTGAATGACCTGCGCAACTTAAGGAACCTGAAAAGTCTAGGGCTTCCGAGTAGAGTAGAAACAAGATTAGCTCAATTGTTCGACCAAATGCTGTCGATCAAGTCAATGCGCCAAGTATGAATGTTGATCTTATCTTGTGTGCAGCTAATAGAATGCTTCCAGGATGATGGACAAATAAGCCATGACAAAAATCCAAGATCACCAAGTTTCGATGAAGATGACCCCAACGTTTACTCCGATTATCAGCAACCTCGAGCGAATCAAGCATTGTTGGAATCATCGATGCATTACCCAAATTCTGACAAACAGAAAAACGAATCCAAGAATTATGAATCGGACATGGTATTGACTTGTAACTCAGTATAGCATCTCAAAGTGTAAGAAATATTCAACAGGAAGACATTACGATCTCATTTAAACCCAAGATCAACCTTAGGAAAGGGGAGAAGGTGTTGTCCAGGAATCTTCATATTCTCTTGTCTAAGCGTTTTCAAGGTCAAGTTAGTTTTGGCTGGTTTTCATGGCGAAGACCTGAATAACATCCAAGTGACTTCTACCCCCTTTGGCTCTTTCGTAGAAGCATCTTGGTATCGTGAAACCAAGGAGTTGGCTTTGGTAATTTCTGAAATTCAAGTAACTGATGCCTAAACTTGAGACAGATAGTGAATTCGGAGATACCGGCGCATGAATCTGTCAGCATAGTGATTCCATCGTCTTATGGGATCAAGAAAGAATCAAAATCTCAAGGCCAATCGAATGAAAGTGAGGCAACACTTGGAGGTTCCATGCCATTGCAATCTGTTCAGGCAAAACCCGTCACTCCGAGTATGCTCGTCGGCTTGTTCCACAGTGAATGAAACTGAAGGTTTGAACAGGCATTGATCCTACACTAGAAAAGCGACTCCGTGCCAATCAGAGGCGTATAGACTTCCTCAAGAAGGAATCCTCGGGTTCTTTGAAGGATCTCTCCAAACATCATGACAAGGAGCCAACCGATGTACGATGAATTCTCACTTTCGACGCAATTTGCCTTACACATTTACAGAATGCGGAGAACATATCGTCTAATAGTTTAGACAAGCATCAAAAAGTGGTCCATAACATTCGAAAAGAGCAGGAGGAAATGATGTCTGAATTGATGGTGAATGCTAAGTTTCTCTGATGTTGAATGATATTCTTGAGACAGAGTCTGAATAGTGAAGGACCGGAGACAAATCCAGAAGTCCAAGAATTCTTTGACATACCTGAATCTGATGACGGTCTTGAAAATGAGGCTTCTGCAATAATTTGGGATGGGGCAACGCAGGCAGAATGGGCAAGAAAACTTTTGAATCAGCGAATAACTGAAGTCAAAAAGATGGTAAACGTCGATGAAATCTCAAATCAGATTGCAGATCAATGCAAGTCAGCACGGGAACTATTACAAAATCTACCAGCAAGGGAACAGTCTGAATCGAAGTTTGATCCTGACACTGTCGCACAACAGGCGCAGTGGGCGAAGAACCAGCTTGAAAATCTACCTCAGAAGGAGAGCGCGAGGAAGTTCGATCCTGACAGTGTCGCACAACAGGCGCAGTGGGCGAAGAACCAGCTTGAAAATCTACCTCAGAAGGAGAGCGCGAGGAAGTTCGATCCTGACAGTGTTAGCAACGACAATACTGATTCAAATGCAAGCACCTCGGAGTCTTTGTTCGTGGATGCACATTCACATATGCTGATCGGGCAGGAGGAAATGGTAGCAAGAGGGGCAAGGGAAATGGTTGGGTCACAACCTTGAATAGCAACCGTGATGATCCATTGCTCGCTTCAAGATACAGATGAAATGCTGGAATTAGCGCATCGATATTTCAATGTTCAGTCGTCCTGAAGACTTGAATTTCCCTTCATTGATTGGTGATATAGCAGGATGGAGGACTGTGAGTAGCAACATTGAATCATGGCTGGCTGAATGTACTATAAAGACATTAAAAACAAACAATACCTTTAACTTTCTTCGGTGCAAATTTACATGTAAAGGCCAACTCCGATGAAGGTACCAGACTCTCAATCGTCATCTGGTCCCAGCGGTTGAATCTTTGCAGATTCTCGTTGCGGTGGAAGGACAAGTGGGTACGACAAGAAGGAATGGACCTGAGAAACGTCAGGGCGAGCAGGCAGCTGACAGGTCCACCTCATGGATCATATCTGACAGAGCCGGGTAGACAGCCTTTCCGTTGATGCGCCACGAGTAACCCCCGGTCTTCACGAATACCTTCCAGAGCTACGTCAGCTCCCCGACCCCAGCTGATCCTCAGTCAAGGAGTCGTACCTTAGCACTCTTAATCTGCCGCCCTGCCGAGCACCATTGGATGGCGAAGTTGCCGGGAGATGCGCTGTATCGAACAACGAAGACCCCAGGGTCCGCAGAGCTGAGAAGATAGCATGCTTCCTTCTTTCGCCGTCACAGCTCACAGCAAGGGCGCCAGCAGCAAGCACCTGATAGTTGAGATGAGGTTTGAACCATTCTGGCAGGCTCCGACTAGCCCCAGTCAGCAGAGCGATCTCTGCAGTGCTCTCGTCAGATCCTCCCGGTCACCTGCACTTCTCCTCTGACCCGCAAGTTTGAGAGCGTCGATGAAACCGTTCCCAGCCTCCTGCCACGAGAAGTTCTCGACTTCCTTCCAACGGCATGGAGGAAGCCACCTATCGATGAAGGACTGAGGGCAGGCCGTCATCCCGTCGCAGCCAAGTCACCATCACCTGGATCTCGTAGCAGGACACACAGTCCTCGATCCCCACGCACATCAAGCTGGCCATAAACTGCGACTGCCATGACGACAGAAGCTGCATCCCGAGATTTCTCAGCTCATTCTGAACGGCCGCAATCCACTAAAGATGAGAAGATAAGAAGGCGGAGAGTTGAAGTCACTTCCTACCTCACGGATCTTGATGCAAGGGCGATTATGAAAGTAAGACCTCCACACCATCTGAGCGAAAGGATCTCTTATGATGAAAGATTTGTCGTAGTCCGTCACTTGTCTGAACTGGATGGTCACTTCCAGCCCCAGATCCTTGGCGAGTCTCAAGCATCTGCAAGTGCCGTGTCAACACAGAGGAGGAAAAAGGATGTAGTATCAAGACGAGGCCGAAGATATGGGAAGAGGAGAAGGGAAGAGGAGAAGGCAGAAGATATAGGAAAAGGAGGAAGAAGGTAGAGGAGGAGGAGGTAGAAGATGTAGGATCAGGAGGCAAATGGTAGAGGAGGAAGAGGAGGAGGAGGAGGAGGAGGAGGACCTGTGATTGAGTCGCAAGACCTCGCTCTCGATCACTGACCGATGCCAACTCAGTTCACTCACCCTCTTCTCGGGGTCTTGGATCCCCCACTCCTCCAGATCGAACCGCAGCTTGAGCAGCGTGTCCTCCATGAAGCGAACTCGCTCCAGTATCTTCCATGGATGAAGGTCGCACCGCACCATTGTATCCTTGCCACTCCACCTCCTCAGCTTGGCGGTGACGGGATGAGGGATGTTGGGTCTTCGGAGCACAAGGTTCACTTCTGTTCCCACTCTGCCTAGGTAGATGTTGGCCATGTCCTGAAAGCTCATCTCCTGCACCTCCTCGCCGTTCACCTTCTTGAGCACGTCGCCTACCCGAATGTCGGAGCTCTCAGCCGGCGAACCTCGTTCGATGGTTTCAACCGCGAAGGAGCCATCCTTCAAGACGGTGAAGAGGATGCCGACGCCGACGGGTCTACTGCTGACGTACTCCTCTGCATGCTCACACAGCCTCTGCGCCCATCGTCCATGCTCAGCGACACATAGAGCGTTGTGAAGAGGGACCCCAGCCTCCTTCAGCTCTGCTACCAGCCTGGCGAGATGCACGGCCACTCGTCGGACTTTAGCCACGCGCTCATCTCGGACCGTCACTCCCTTCACCTCCCAGAGCTTCATGCCCTTCTCATCTGCCCCGCGCTTCCCTCCCTCCTCTCCTCCTGCCATGGAAGGGACCTCGGAGATTGTGAGACTAAACTTTTATTGAACTAAACCTAGTCAGGAGCGCCCTTGATAAAAAGGCTTCGAGCCTCCGACAAGACGATCGAGACGCTGAGCTTGTTGGACCTTCAATCGCTACACTGCTTCCTCGTCCTGGTCCTTGTCTCCTTTCTGATCCTGGTCCTGGTCCTGGTCCTGGTCCTGGTCCTGGTCCTGGTCCTGGTCCTGGTCCTGGTCCTGGTCCTCGTCCGTGCCACATCAGACCACTGAGTGCTTCGGCTCAGGTCGCTCAGGAGGAAGAGGAAGCCACTGCGTCCTTGAGAAGCAGGACGACTGCCTGGACGAGGGAGGAGGACTCCTTGGAAAGATCCATGCGGGGGTGACGCACTTTCACGGTCAGGACTCGCTCGAGCTCTTTTCTCAGCTCCTTGACGATGACAGCTGTGCGGGCAGGTACCTGAAGAGCATCAGAGCCTACTAGCCAGGAAGGGCAGGTTGAGCAGGTGAGGCGCAGAAGTTGAAAAAATCAGAGGGGAAGGGAGATGATAGTGATGGCGGTGAAGGAGGAGGAGGAGGTGGAGATGCAGGAGGAGGAGGATGAGATGGTGATGGTGGTGGTGGTGGTGGATGTGATGATTAGGAGGATCAGTGGGAGGAGAAGGAGGAGGAGGAGGAGGAGGAGGAGATTAAGTAGGTTACCTTCAGCTGGAGCCATCCATCCAAGGAGACAACGCCTTGGATGTGATCGAGCACGAGCTTTCCCCCGAACAGCAGGGCTGCGTTGCCGTGAACGATGGTCGCGTCCATGACGTAGGGGCGAGAAGTCGCCATCTTCTGGTGGTACGTCACCAGAGCTCCTCGCGCGCACGCTTGTCCCTGCCCGTTCATGACACTCGACCTGTGCAGCACGAGCCCCTTCGAGCCGTCGGGCCCTCTGAGCAGGATGTCTCGGTTGCTCTGCTCCACCTGCAGCTTGCAGTCACTCCTCCTCCTCTATCCCCTTCCTGTACCTGCACGAGGTTGGGGTAGAGGCCAGCGAAGATGATGGAGCAGAGGATGGGCTTGCTCCTGCTGTTGGCGTTGCTCGCCTTGTCCTCGTCCACGTCCCCCACTTTGTTGATGAAGCCGATGGATCGTAACCTGCGGGAAGAGATTGAGAGAGCCGGGAAGAAGTGTAAGGAATGAAAGGAATGGAAGGACGCAGGAGGAGGAGGATAAGGAACAGAAGCAAGAAGAGCAGAAGGAGGAGGAGGAGGTGGTGGAGGAGGAGGAGGTGGAGGAGGAGGAGCATGACGAAGATCACAACGACGACGAGGAGGAGCAAGGAATGGGGTTACTCACAGGTCTTTGAACTGGGATCGCAGATCTCTGATCTGGATGAGGGTCGCCTGGCTCATGCTGTACTGCCTGCACACCTGCTGCTGCTTCCCCTTTTCCCCTCTGCTCGCTTCGACCCACATGTCGTACGCTGCAGAAGCCACAAGCAGGTCTGATACCGGGTGCTGACCAGCGAGTTTCTTCCTGGCGTCGTCGACGAGTCCTCTACGTTCGATGGAGGTCAGGAAGGGCATCTTGTAGCTGCAGCAGGCGGCGATGGTGAGGATAGGGTTGAGGCAGGAGAAGATACATCCCATAATGAGCAGCTTGCCGATGTGAGGGTCGACCGGGAGGCGCGACAGGTGCTGACCTAGCGCCGTTAGCCCCCCCTCCTCGTCTACCGCCTGCACGTCCGAGAGCGTCTGCATGGCGACCTTCACCGCAGTCTCACTCGGAGGGTCAAGGGCGGACCCGAGGAAGGACGCGACGTCTCGGTGCCCCATGGACAGGATCTGCAGGCAGAGCTCCTCCAGCGGCACGCGGCGCATCTCGGGGGTCTTGTGCTCATCGAAGTAGGAGGCAGACCGCACGCGGGTGTAGAGGTGGAAGCACTTGCCCGCCTGCACTCGCCCTGCTCGCCCTGCTCGCTGCCGCATCGAGGCTCGATCGATCCACGTCTCAACCAGCAGCCTCATTTTGGCACGCTCGTTGTACCTCGTCTCCTTCACGCGCCCCGTGTCGATGACATAGGCAATGTCGTCGATGGTGATGGAGGTCTCGGCGATGTTGGTCGCGATCACGATCTTCTGCACGTGAGGAGGCGGCTTCACGAAGATCCTCCGCTGCTCTTCGGGAGGCAACGAGCTGTGCGCTGCATGGACGACAAACTTCTTCCTGTCCGAGAAGACCGAGCTAGCCATGAGCTGGTCGTACAGCTGCATGATCTCTCCGATGCCGGGCAGGAAGATCAGAACTCCCTTCACAGACTCCTGCGACTTCATCCCTTCCTCATCGAGATCCTCCCACGAGTCTACACCCGGTGACGCCTTTTCGTCATCAAGGGACTTTCGGAGCAAGAGGAGGACGTCGCAGATCAGGTCGTAGTTGATCTTCTCCTCGTCCACCCTCCTCAAGCTTAACCTCGTTGACTCGCTGAAGTCTGCGTGAAGCCGTCAGCGTTAATCTCCTCGTCCTCGTCCTCGTCCTCCTCTTCATCCACCTCTATCTCTGCCTCCCCCCCCTTCTCCTCTTCCTGCCCATCTTCTCCATGATCAGTCACCCTCCTTCCTCCCACTACTTCTCCTTCGCACTACTCACTGGTGTACAGCGCCTCCTCATACGCGTCGTTGGTCGGCCCCAGTCCGTCGAGCTCGTCCTCATCCCACTGCTCCATCACTTGCGCTGAGTTTCCTCCTCGAGTCGAGATCGTCATCTTCGCCATCCCCCGCACTGCCGCTCTATTCACGATGGCGCACGGGTGCCCCTCCACGATCCGGTGGCCCGTCAGCTCCAGAACATCCTCGAGGAAGAGATCCTCTACAGGGAACGTCCTCCCGGGGACCGTGAAGACGGGAGCGTCAAAGAAGTAGCGGGAGAAGCGATCAGCGTCCATGGTCGCCGACATGATCACCAGGCGCATGTCGGGCCTTCTTTCCACCATCCCCCGCAGGATCACCAGCAAGAAGTCGCACAGCACGTCTCGCTCGTGCGCCTCGTCTACGATGACGTGGCTGATGCCCTCCAGCTGCGGATCGTCCTGCAGCCTCCGAAGAAGGATCCCTGTAGTGCAGAACAAGATCCTCGTGTCCTCCGTCCTCGTGCTCTCCATGCGGATCTGGTGGGCACAGAGCGCTCCCCCTGCTCCCGGAGTCTCTCCTCGCTCTGCCGCCACTCGTTCTGCCACCCCTATAGCTGCGACTCGTCGAGGCTGAGTGCAGATGATCCTGCAGCCCTCCCCTCGACGCTGCGACAGAAACTCGTCCAGGATCATCTGGGGGACCTGAGTAGACTTGCCGCATCCTGTCTCTCCCACGATGATGGTGACGGTGTTGCTGCGGATGGCCGACAGCATCTCTTCTTGCTTCGAGTAGATGGGCAAAAGTTTCCTCCCCTCCCACAGCCTCTGCCACTCCGGCGAGCTCCTCATCGTCTTCCATCGATTGAACAGCTCTTCGCTCACCTGCTTCCCGTCACCATGGCTGACCGTCTTGTTTCCTTCCTGCTTCCTCTCCTGCTCGTCCGCGTCCCACGACTCCGTCACTGAGCTCGACTTGTCTGCCTGCTGGGCAGCTGTTGGACCCGACGTTGCTGGACCTTGAGGGCGAGAAAGAGAGCGCGCACGCAGCAGCTCCTCCAGCACAGTCTCTCTGGCCTCCTCTTTTTCCTTCTCTCCCTTCGCCTTCTCCTCGTCCTCTCCTTTCTCCCATCCCAGCCACAGGTCCCTGAACAAGGCCGGCATCATCCTATACAGCTGTCGCCCCTGCGAGATCTTGTAGAGGGCGTAGCAGGCGGCCACGTGCTCTGCCTCCATCACCTTGGCGCAGACGAACTGAGCTGGGCCCTCGTGCACTTGCTCTCCCATCAAGACTTTGCATCTGGCTGGGTTGTTCCTCATCTGAGCGAACTTGGGCTTCGGCAGCTTGTTCTTAGCGCAGAACTCGATCAGCATCACCTTGGGAGTCTTTCCTGTCCATCCCTTGAGGGCCTCGTTCACATCCAGAATCGTAGCTTCCACCTCCTCCCCCTCCTTCACCTCTCCTCCTTCAGGCTTCTTGGTCTCCGCACTAGTCAAGTTTCCACCAGCCTGAGCAGAACACTTGGCCGACGGCGCTGGCTCATCGAAGAGAGCGTCCATGGAGAACATGTCAGCTGCTTCAAACTCCCTCGACACTGGGCTCTCTTCCTCCTTCTTTTCATTCCCAGCACCGCTTGAGGCCTTCAGCACCTTCTTCAAGCTCTCAAGTTCTCCTTTGCACTGAGAGATCATCCGAGAGTTCCGCACTAGATCTTTCCTGCCCTGCATCTCGATCGCTCGACCCTCCTTAGAGTTCCTGCTCACAGTTTTCTTACCAAAGTACATCCCCGACGCCAACGAAGTCAGTTTCTTATGACAGCTCTCCAGCTCACCAGCCAGCGCATCTCCGGTTTCAATGCACTTGCCGAGGGTTGTGACGTTCTTCATCTCTTTCCCTCGCTTTGCCTGATGCTTGAAAGCTTCTAGTCTCGCCTCCAGGGAGTTCACAAGATTCGGAAGATCCTCGTCCTCGCCCTCGTCCTCGTCCTCGTCCTCTTCACTCCCTGACCCTTCCTCTGAATCGTCCACATTGTCATACTTTTGCAAGATCCATGCACGATGAGCGGCAGCTTCTGCTGCAGCTGCAGCTTTCTCCTCTTGCTCCTTCTTCTTCATGAGCTCCACTCCTTGGATCGCTGGCTTCGGCGGCTCCGGACGAGGAGAAGGAGCCTCTGAAGCAACGGGAGCACTCTCAACAATCGAAGGAGCAATGATTTCGATGCCTCCCTTGAACTCGTCTTGGGGCCTGTAAGTCGATCGGAACTTGACCGGCAGCTTGTCCTCGTCGACATTGAGGCAGAGCCAGTCCAGGGCGTCGGGGAGGGAGACTTCCCTTATGCGCGTGAGCACCTCTTTCACGTCCTCATGGGTGAACCCCAACCCAGTGAGGTCATCCCAAACTTTGCCCAGCTTCTTGATGCTGACTTGTTCGAGGGAGGCATGCTCGTCCTGCTGCTGCTTCCTTGAGGACAGGTAGTGGAGGATCTGTTGCTCAGTCTTGCGGGAGAACTCGGCGGAGGTCTTGCCGTGCTTCAGAAGCTCTTCTTGCACAGCGCTCTTCTTCGGCATCTTTCCCTTATGAAACACCGATGTTCGAATAGGGGCTCTCCCTCCTCCTCCTCCTCCTCCTCCTCCTCCTCCTCCTCCTCCTGAGATGCAGTAAACTTCAAAGAGAGCCGAGAAAAGAACAGCGGCTCTGAGGCCCAAAACTAAAATCTTGCAGGAGCCGTGTAGGATTCCTATGGTGCGAGAACGATTGAGAGCGCAAGACTCTTGTCCTCCTCTGGCTGCTCGTCTCTTCTCCTCCCCTTCCTCACCTAACTCGTTGCTCTTCCTCTGCTGCTCGCATGCCTGACCGAAATGCGCCCCATAGCACCCTGCATGCAAGGCATGGCAGCATGCATGCTGGAAGGCATGGCCCCACTGTGGCCCCAGGGATCAACGACTAGCTGGTAGACACGGCATTTTCAGAGTATAACTTTTGTGCGGGGGTAGGGTACATTCAACCACCGGTGATATGCAGTGAAAATCAGAGGAAATGGTCACCACGGGTACAAATATTTTTCCGAAGATAGGGGTAGGGGTCACGTTACTAGCGCCCCCTCCTAAAGGAGAAAGGAGTGCAACATGTGATGGAGGGGAGAGGGGAAGGAGGGAGAGAAAGAACTTGTCGGATGGATGAAGAGAAGAGAGTGAGGAGGAGAGAGGGGGGAGAGAGAGGAGAGCAGAGAGAAGGAAAGTGAGTAGGAGAACAGGGCAGGGTTTGAGATTGCGAGGGAAAAGACACGGTATCTTTATTTGCGTGTTTTGCATGTATCGAGATTAGCAGAGGAAAAATGCAAGAGAGTGCGGATGCGAGATCTTAAGAAAGGACTTGGGTGATAGTGTTTTGGAAGTGAGCCAGGAATGATGTTACTCAGGTTGTCGCGATTCCGTTGATTTGTCCATTGCAGCAGGACCACCATATGTCTATCCTCTGTATTGCTCGTGTAGATCAGTCGGAGCGAGGGGTACTTCAGAGCTGCGGGAAATTCTCAAGGATCCTTGATCCTGGTTTGAGCTGCATCTACTGGCCATGGCAGGCTGTGAGCAAAGTAAGCATGAAGGTCGTTAGTTTGCTGCGAGTTGATTACCTTTGTGAAACATCGCCGCAGGTAACGCAGATTGATGTGAAAACAATGACCAAGACTAGGGACAACGTCACGGTCACAGTCACTTGTGCAGTTCAGTATGCCGTTAACCCACAAGAGTGTGAGAAATTCTACTTCAAACTGCGCGATCCGCACAAGCAGATATCTGCGTTTGTGGATGACTGTATTAGGTCGCACATCCCCTCGATGAGTTTAGACGAAGCCTTTGAGGCGAAGGAGACTCTTGTAGATGCGGTCAAGAACAAGCTGCATGAGTCGATGAGAGCCTACGGGATCATCGTTCATCAGGCTCTTGTAACGGACATGAAGCTGGAGCAGAGCATTATGATGGCCATGAACACGATCAACGCTGCTCGTCGGAATCGGGAGGCGGCGATAGAAATAGCTGAGGGCAACAAGATACTTCAGGTGCGAGCTGCAGAGGCTGACGCAGATGCGAAGTACCTCAGTGGGAAAGGGATAGCATTGATGAGGGAAGCAATCTCAAATGGGTTCAAGAACAGCATTGAATCGATGAAGTCCAGGTGGTTTATGCTGACACTCGCATGTTGCTTATGGTGTTTGCAGTTGTGGGCTTGAACCGAGTGAAGTGGTGGAGATGATGCTTGTCACGCAGTATATGGACATCTTGAAGGACTTTGCTCGTTCTGGTGTGATCGTTGAAGTTACTTGAAGCGTTCCTTTGATGCCTGTTTGCAGAAACCCCTTGCCTGGTCGTTCCTTTCCCAGTCAACTCCTTGAAGAATATGGAAATAGAGTCTCCCCCGATGCCGGAGTCGCGAGAAGATATGCGGCAGCCCAGGATGGTTGTCCTGGATGATTCAACTGTTGAAGCAGCCTTGGAGGAGGTGAGCCAGCTTCACCTGTCGACCCTCCTAGCAGAACGAAACGAGGAAGAGCAAGCGGAGATGCGTGAGGAGGAATGCATGGCGTGAATAGGTCACAACTTGTGGAGGTTGCAGAAGCGGAGATGACACAATGATGCATGCGACCTTGCTTTGTACATTTTGTATGCTAGGCTGAGAAGGGAATAAGCACATGATCAATGAAAATTAAGACAAAATGAAGAATGCATTGAGGATGGAGAAGGAGAATTGACCGTGACAGAAATGAAGAATTCGAATCCTTTCTTGAACACCATGTACATGAGACAACCAAATCTGCCTCTGTCATTCAACATCACAGAGCTGACACCAATCAGTTCACCTTAGGACTTCTTCAATTTCTCAAGAGCCTCATTTCTTGAAGCCGCATAACTGACAGCAACATTTTCAAACTCAAGAACGGACAAAAAGGTCTACTGTCACTCACGCAAACAGCCTAGGAAGGGGATCGAACTTCCAGTCATCGTCCTGCGACAGTTTGACGACACAAAACAGAACTGCCTTGACAGACTCACGTTCTTGAGCTCTGATACCATGGAGATGGAATCTCCACGGATCATGAACTTTCCAGGTAGAGGTAGAATGAGCTCGTCCTGCAGCACATCATTTGATCTCAAACATGGCACGAGTAGTACACAACATCCGTGAGGAGCGCTGATCTCCTTCTCACGTCTTCGTCGTATGTCGAGCTGTGTGAACACGATGCTAAACACCGCAGAAGCCTTCAGTGTGCAACTTCACCATGATCCTTCCTCGGCTGTATATGACAGGGGTAACTCCAGACTCTGAGATACCTTGTCACTGATGTCACAATGGAAGGATTACAAACCTCAACATCTTCAGTGATTTCGAAGGGGGGAAAGACCTGAAAAAGTTCTCGAATGTCATACGTATGAAGAGAATCGTTACAACCTCGGTTCACCCTTTCTGTCACATTCGATATTATGAGGTTCATGTAACGGTCATAACTTCTGGAATGGGCAGTTTCAGCTCTCTTCTTACCATCAAGAGAGCTACAAAGGACATGCCTGAGCTTGCCGACCATGTTCCTGCCGTTCATCAAGAGAATCATCACCTGCACTTGACTCTAAGGGGCAGTGACGGAGATTGGGAAAGCAGCAGATGTACTCACTCTTCGTCCTATCATATCGTTCAATCCTGCTATCTCTGGCTCAGTATGCCTGCCTCTTCGACTATACACGCTTGTGTTATGCCGGTTTGTAACCCTGGATATGGAGGTGAAGTACTCACGGATCGCGATCGTCGAGGTATTGGAGGATGTCAAGCTTCAGAGGCCTTCTTGGCATGGGAGAGCGCCTGGTTTCATTGGTCGAAGTTTGTCCCTTATCTTGATCCTCACGCATGCTTTCTTTGGTGTTATCGTTGGGGCTTCCACCCCCTCTAAGGTGCAGACACAAGGAGGGTGAGAGTGGTTGACCATGTATCTTCTGCTTCGCGGGACCTGTTTGAGCACCTTGACAGCAGGGAGGAGGAGGTATGAGCAGCAAGGCAGGGACAGGTCGGAGTTCAGATACGGTGGGCTGTTTTGCAGCAGGAAGAGCTCGGGAGGAGGACATGAGGAGGAGGAGGAGCTGAAAGGCACGCATTTCGCCTCGCATTTCCTGATGAGGCGGTTTGGCAAGTGTACCCCACAACCCCCTGCTATCACGACTATCCCCTCCTTCCAATTCTTCACCCCCTCCAAGCCTACCAAGTACCCACCATATCATAGGCTTTCTGGATCCAATGCTATGACACCACCAGGTCATATCACCACCCCCACCCCAAAAATAAGATTATATATTGTCTGAAATCTTCATAGCATGGTACACGGGGCAGTAGCGCAGTGGTAGCGCGTCCGCTTTGCATGCGGAAGGCCCCGGGTTCGATCCCCGGCTGCTCCACCTTTTTACTTTCACCAAGAATTCTGAACTCCATCCCACCCACCCCGATGTTCTCACCTTCCACCCTACCCCCTTGTCGGCATACCCTCCCTTTTTTGATTGTACAACTTTGCTCTCCTGTGATTTTTAATTTGAATCATTAAAATTTCTCCTTGAGGTCGGAAATAAATCAAATTAACTAGTTGTTATCCTAATACTACCCTACCCGTATCATATTTTTTGAATCCAGGAACCCCTCGTCACCTCAGTGAATATCATCCCCCTCAACCCCATCATAACATGGCGGATTGTTATGCACGGAATGCGCAGCGGCTGGACGCCGAGTACGATGCCGGAGACAGCGAGTTTGTGCTCGACAGTGACAATGACGATGATTTCGAAGGTCCAACTGTGACCAAGATGTCAAGGTGAGAACCTCTCTGTGAAAGATGAGCTCCATACGATTGTTGTTCATTTGTCTTTGTTCCTTCCATGCTGTGTTACTATTTTTCTCCTCGATGTCGTAATGGTGGAAATTTTGTTCGACAGGAAGTCTAAGGCTGGAAGGAAAATGGACTCCAAGAAGAAGCAGAAAACTCCTTCTGCTGCTATCAATCAATACGCCGAAGAAGGGAAAGACGACGATTTGCAAGCACCGACAGTCACTATCAGTGATAGCGATTCAGCAGAAGACGAAATGGCTAGACTTGCAGCAAATTTCATGACGAGGAAGAACCATAGGGAAGATGAAAGACTGAAGATAATCGATGACTTGCTGATGTAAGTGTTGATCGTTCATATTGTCTTCTGCTGGTGTTGAAGGGACTGATTTTCGATTCTTCAAGGGAGACAAAAAGGATTCAAGAAGGTTTGCTATCGGCAGCATCAGCCGACATATCAGCAGCAGATGAGACGCAGGAGGATGATTCGGAATGCCAGATCACTGAATCGACTCGGGGGATGGACCTGGACCTGAATCCTCATGAAAAGGAACACCCGTCGGGAGTACATGTGAAAGAGAGCAAAGAAACCAATGGACCAAAATGCATCGTCTGCATCAAGGCACGCGAGGGTGACAAGGTGAGGAAGTTCAAGATCTCGATGAACGACAGCATGAACAAGGTCTTTGAAGCTTTCTGCAAATCAGAGAGTGTGAGTGCTGCTTGTCTTGACGGTCATTTGCAGCCTGTAATGCTGATCTTGCAGGTTGCACAAACAACAGTGAAGTTCATCTTTGATGGGCAGCTCATCCCATGGACCTCCACGCCGACTTCGTTGGACATGGAAGAAGAATCAGAGAACTTGGTGGATGCTAGAATTTCATAAGATACTCTGTCTGTCTGCCCCGGCGAAGTTTACATAGCAGTCCTACTTTCACACCCACAAGATTTTGTAAATCATTCCTTCAACTTTGTCCGACAAGATTCGCTGTACTGCAATCATGCTTTATTCTTAGTGAGTGACATGATGATCCTGTGGCCGCGCTCATCTCTTTAGCATCGCTTCCGCATTGCTGATTGACATGTAATGCGGCTCTCCAGATGTGTCCATGAAGATTGCTTCCTTTCCCTTGCGATTGATATACAAGAAAGCTTGCTCGAGTAGATACAACTCGAAGTCCGCGTTCTCTGCATGTTTGATGAGGATGCTGGATCCATGGGGAGAAGCCTTCCATCCTCCCATCCTCTGCTCTCTGTCCAGCAGATCAGATTTCAAAGGATTTTTCTTAATCTGCTCAAGAAGGCCGGGAGAGTACCAGCGCAGGTACTCGAAAATGTTCCCTGCAGCATTGATCTGTGCAAGAGCGGAATTCTCCCTGGCAGAGTATTGAAACCAGCCATCGCTGTCGTGCATGAGCTCGATGACCATTCCTGTCTCTCTGTTTCTGCACATGGTGACCTTTTGCCCCTCATAGAACCTCCGAGCGTCTCCCTGCATCATCCTTTGACTCTGGGTCGCTATGGTGTTCGGGCCAACCTCTTCTGTCGCAAAGTACCAGACCCGTTGAGCGCCACTGTAGCTCGCCTGCTTCTCAGCCTTCTGGGCATCCTGCTCCATCTCCACCTTCTTCGCCATCTCGTACTGCTTCGCCCTCATCGCCCGGATCTCCGCAAGTTGCGCGGCCTGGGACGACCCCCCTCTCAACCGAAGCGCATGCGAAGTTCCATGGGTGATCAAGGCCGGAGAGCAGGAGGAGGAGAGCATGAAGGAGGAGAAGAGGTGCGATAGGAGGAGAGACACGCTCAGCCTCCTCCCTCTCCTCGCCATCCCCCGGCCTCCCGCCACTCCACTCGTCGCCATGTCTGCTTCTCTCTCGACGACCTACCCTCCTATCAGATTCTCGTCATTCATCCGAGTACCATAATTTTCATAGGAACCTTACAGAGGAAAGTACCCGTCATCTGGTACCCCACCCCATCACCCAACATTTCGAGGTATGTGCGGGGATGAGGCCAACAAAGTATAGCAATGGGATCGAGTCGCTGGTCACGGTGGGGCAGAGGAGGAGGAGGAGGAGGAGGAGGAGGAGGAGGAGGAGGAAGAGGAGGAGGAGTAGGAGCTTTGTTGTTGGTGATTACCTTCATTTCTTGCTGGAGTGTCTCTCATGCCTTTTCCGTCCCCTCCTCCTCCCTGTTGTCTTTCAGTTCACTCTCCTCTCGGACCTCTCTCCGCCTGCCTCCCCCCACCATCCTCAAGGCACCGATGCCGCGTCCCCTCCACAGAGGCCTCATCAGCATCTATGCATCTTCTGCGTCAACAGTGGACGATCTTCTCGATCTCGTCGGCAAGGGACTGGAGGGCGAGTACACAAAAGAGGAGTCGAGCAAGATTTCAGATCGCATCGACCGGCTGGAGGAGGTTGGTAGAGGACGCGATTACCTTGAGGATCCTCGGCTAGTGGGCTACTATCGTGTTCAGTACGTGCAAGACGTGGGCAGAGGACGACCAGTGGGTGGGAACTTTCGGTATACAGCAGCAGGAAGGTAGGCAATGCTTGCTGTATGGCGCTGGATTGTTTTGCCCGATGCTTTTCCATTGTTGTCGTTCAGCTGTAGACAGTTGTTGTTCTCACACACTCTTGCAGAGCATTGTTTAAAACAACCGATGCCCTGCAGCACATTCTTGACAAGGGAGTCGCCGTCAACATGCTCTACCTCAAGTTCCTTGGCTCCATTCCAGCATGCGTCGTCTTGCGAGGCGATTTCGAGCAGCTGTCAGACGCTGAGCGAGGTAAGCTTCCTCCCCCCTCCTCCCCTTCTTCGCTTCTCCCTCGCCCTCTCCTCCTCCTCCCCTACCTGCCCCCCCTTTCGTCTTCTTCCCGTCCCCCATGACCATAGCATCGTAACAGCGCAAGTGGAGGTCAAGTTCCAGACGCCTCCCCCCGGGTTGTCTCCTCAAACTATTAAGGTAAAACTTTGGGCGAAGCATGGGATGGGGCCGGCTGGAAGGGAGGGTGGATAGAGGAGGAGGAGCACGAGGAGGAGGAGGAGGTGGAGGTGGAGGGGGGGGTTGAAACGGGAAGCTTTTCCTCATCTTCTGCCTGCAGGCTTCCTTCGATTCTCCCCGCATCTCCTTCGGGCCCTCCGGTCTCTTCACTTTCAACGTTGGACCGACGACGACAGGTCCTCAAGCTCCTTCCTGTGCGAGGCTGAGAGCAGTGTTCCTCAGTATACCTCGACACCATTTACCTCGACGAGCGGATCCGGATCGGGAAGAACCGATATGGAGGACGCTTCGTCTTCACGAGGCTAGGGGAAGCGGAATGTCTCCCTGGATCGCCAGCAGACGCCTGGAGGAAGTTTCTTGCTCAGTCACCAGGTACTTGAAGGGGGTCAAGACATGCTATCTTCCTCGTCAGTCCAATGCTTTCTCGCTTGCTCCTCGTCTACTCTATCGTCCTTCCACTCCTCTTCCTCTACCTTCTCCTCCCACTTCCCATGGCTCTTGGTGGTATTTTTTCCTGTTCTAGTCTGATCTTACACATGCTCCCCATCAGCTCCGACCCAGGCCCTTGCTGTTTCCTCCGCTCTTGGTGCCCTCCTCCTCCTCCTCCTCCCTGAGACCTTCTTCAAGGCGAAGTGTTCCTTCCGCCAATCCTCCATGACGCCTGTTTGACAGGAGGAGCAAGTCAAGATTAGCCGGAGAACAGCTATCGGCCTCGTGTTGGGCCTGGTGCCATCGGCGCTGCTCCTTTCATCCTTCTTGTGATAGGAGGGGGGAGCAGTATAAACATTCTTTTATTCGACCATGATCTCCCTTGACGCTGTTTCATCTCGCAGCAGCAACCCCCCGCTCCTCTCCCTGTTGCTCCTCAGCGAACGACAAAAATAAATTTGCTCTCATCATAGGATGACTCTGTTGATGGGATAGAGGGCCCGTCGCTTCCTCCCTTTCCCCTCCTGTCCCCCTGCTGGTCACCCGCAGCTGCTCTGTTTAGCTGCTCGGTTGTGCGGCTGCTACGTCTTTGCTGGGCGAGAGAGGACCCTGAAGAAGATTCAGCCGGGAGGAGGAAGGAGCGGGAGGAGGGTGGTGGACTGACCTTATCGGAGTTGTACCGCCAAGATAGAGCGATGACTCGGGAGACGAGGAGCGTGCCTGCCGTGGAGGTCAGTGCATGAAAAGGTGAGAGAAGGGAGGGAAGGGAAGGGGGAGGGGGAAAGGGAAGGAAGCGAGCAGGGAGGAGGGAGGAGGGAGGAGGGAGGAGGGAGGAGGGAGGAGGGAGGAGGGAGGAGGGAGGAGGGAGGAGGAGGAGGGAGGAGGGAGGAGGGAGGAGGGAGGAGGGAGGAGGGAGGAGGGAGGAGGGAGAGTTTAAGGGGAGGGCAATTGCGGTACCTCGGTCATGCTCAGCAAGTGGTTCGGAGTCGAGGCAGTGAAGTCGTCGAGAAGAGTTTGATCGCAGGGGAACTCGACGAGCATGTTAGTCGCT